CATCTGCAATTGTACGCAGTACAGAGGACATCCCCGCCCCATCGTTGCTATGGCCATGGCATCTGCAAATGTACGCAGTACAGAGGACATCCCCGAAAAGATACCGTGGCTGGTACAAGCTATTCTCACGCTCCCATGCGGGTCCGTGCGCCATCATTGCTCAATAAGAGCGGCATAGGTTTTGAATACAACACTTTGAAGCGATTTCGCCCATATCAAGCAAGGACAGTCAGTGCGCTGCTTAGATGGCTGCTACAGCGCGAACACCTCCAGCGTCTCCGAAATAATCGACCATTTCAACTGCGCATATTCGGGACATATTTTCTTGGGGGCGTCGTAACATGTGGGTGCAAAGGCCGCCCGCCCCCTGGACAGGTGGACAAGTTGGCTTGGGATGTTCAGGGCTGTGATGAAAAAAACATATTTTGTTTCCGAGGAAATATGGCTGTAGGATAAAAGCAAAATAATCTGAATTTGAGACAATATGTAGAACCCTTTGCATATTGCATTCTGTCCTCTGGCTGCCTGACGGGTCTCATCGTGCAGGGCCTGGAATTGACGTTTTAAAGAAAAATCCTGCTATAACCTAGGTGTGAAATACCTCCTCGGGCCATCCCTGGCTCAGAGCCATCTTGCCCTGAACGTGCACAAATGGAAGAACTGATCTTTTTCATCCACGCAAGGGCGATGCACCAGTCTTGGGTGCATGCTACGATTGGCCGTGTCACGTCCCCCCCCAGCGAAATCTCTAGCTTTATCCTGAACTTTTTGTCGTATCATGCACTGAGATCACTTTTCAAGTTCCTCTCACTCGACACCGGCAGATGGGTGTGCTCTACTCGACAGTCCTGGATCGCGTCATCGGCAAGAAAGAAATGCGCCTCTTCATGCTCGGCCTTTTTACTTTTCGTTTTTATTGACGCGGCTGGGGATACCACCATCTTGTACAAAAAATCAAACTGGGCCAAGTCGTCGCGACGACCCCCACGATCGGATTCAACCTTGAATCGGTCACGTACAAGAACATTCAGTTCACGGGTGTGTGGGCCATTGGCAATCGAAGCTGAGGGCGTCCAAGTGCGTTGAACATCTCCTTTTCCTTGACGACGACGACGACGACAAGGGAGAGAAGGCGAGGACCATTTCCATGGACTTGACGTCGTCAATGACGAGTTGCGGTATCATAGTAGAGCGATCGTCGGATGACATGGTCTATGGACTTGGAGCTCAACATCCAACGAGCGACGGCGCTACAGGCTTTGACGAGCTGCCGGTGGGCAGATGTGGCCACCAGAATGGGGAGCGCTTAGTATGACGACATCTTCCGGTTGTCGAAGGGGTGCAGGTTCTTGCCAAGATGAATAGAAGTTGCGACATGGTCAAACACTGTTGTACACACAGTCGCCCCTTGGCACGATGGAAGCGACTGAAAAAGTTGACACTCTTGTGCCTCAGCCAACGGCCAGGTGACATCACCGGCCGCTTGAACCGCTGCCTGCACGTGTTGGATGTCATCAAGGATATACCCCTTTCACCTCCCAACGGGGGATCTCAGGGAGAAATAGAATGAATTATGTCCACATACGCATCACTTTGTAGAGGAATACCCCGATCGAAAATGCGGCCATGACGTGGCATTGTACACGTCCATCACGACGTTGATGACACATTCGGCACAGAATGTGTCAACAATCGAGCACTTCCGAATTGCCAAACCATGTAAGGACGACGAAAGATCTTGGTGGCCAAGACTAAATTTGTCCCCTATTCAACGTCAAAGACCATCACATACAACGCACAGGAAAACGCTGTCAATCGGAAAACCATATCCTGAATAGCGATGCTGCGCCGTCAACTGAAACAATCTCGTCCTGAGTGTGGCATCATTGGTGGTCCCAGCGAGTTGTTTGGTTCGACTGGAACCGATCTTGAGCGGGTTAGGTCGCCATCCCACTCGGCGCGTACACAGAGTAGTATCCTAGCCGAACAATGCCGAATTCATACAAGCGCGACGAGCCTCACAATCCCTCGTCGGCTCCCTTACTCAGTTCGACAGCCATTGATCTATTGTTGTTTGAGGATTTATTGCTATATTCAAAGACCGTAGCGACGAGCCCCGCGGCAGTGTGTGTTCAAGACGCACGAACGCCCTGTCCGAGTTGGTTATACCTTCGAGCCCATCCGTGGCGACGAAGGCGAGGAATTTGCCACGTTGGGAGAGATGGACAACAAGAACGACAACCCCAAGCAAAACAAACAGTCTGGTCACCTCAACTTGGCACGAGCACCTTCTCCACGGTGCACTTGAACGTCCAAAGGTGAGCCAGGAAGCATCCTGGTTGCGATTTAAAACATGACTGCCAGGAAATGCAGATCGTCCGAGGTTACCAACGGCAGTGCTCAGTACAGTTCAAAGTTGACGGCGGCGGTGGGTGGGATGTGCCCGCGCCCAACATCATGTCTGTGCGCAGCCGCAACTCGTTAAATTCGCGCACGCTCAATTGCCTTCTTGGACGTGAACCATAGATGTGGCAAGTCGATTCCATAGGACGGTTGGGACGTTCGTACAACCGGTTCCTCCGTTCATGGTGCTGTGAAATTGTTTCACGATCCAAAGCATCCGAACAGGGAGGCAAGAGCAACGGTGCGAGCTGATCATGGACATGTGAATGGCAGTCGCTTGAGTACCATGGACAACGCCACCCAGAAACGATTTCACGTTACGGGTGCATCATCAAGTAAGAACCGGAACTCGCTCGATCAAGGACTGAAGGGGTTGAGACTGATGGCAAGAGTTAAAGACGTAGTCAGCCAATCCGATTCTGTCATGACGTTGACTCTATCGTGTTTCCAAGCTTTGTTGTCGAAAACGTACAATCGAGTCGCGGATTTCACGACTGCTCGATGTCCAGGAAACACTTCGAGGGATATTTGCCTTCTCATGCTCGGTCCCGATGGCGCTGGGATAACAACCGAACTGTTCAAATTTAGGCTAGGTGAAGCCTTCCCAACACAGCCGACCATGGGGTTCCACCTTGAAATAGTGACTCTATCGTAAGTTGCTTACACGACATTGGACGACATTGGGGTGCAAGACATCATGCGTCCGTGGTGGAGTAACTATTGTACCAACGCAATGCGGGGTGCTCTTGTCGAGGATGCCACTGACCGAGGCAGACCCACCTTAACGGGGACAAATTCCACCGACACCTGGCACAGGTGTTGACCTGCGGGACACCTGTTTCCATGTGTACGCCAACACACACCGCCTCCCGAACGTCATGACCACGTCAGAAATCATCGAGAAATGGCACTTAAGCGGTTGAGATGTCGGTCCAGGGGTGCTGCGCGCCTGGCAGAGGTGGATTGTACATGGGGCTCGCCTGGGTGTCGAATGCATTGCACTTGACGTCGTACAATGAAATTGTGTCGAACGCACGGATAGGTTCGCATGCGTTGCGATCGCTTTTGTTAAATGAGACGCTTCTTCGCTCGCAGTATTAACTGTGAGGTCAACGTTGGACTAGAGTCAAGTTGCAGAGTCAATTCTTCGGAAGCGGCAACGCGACACTGAGACGCTGTCGCCCCGACCTCAAAGGCTTGAATTCAAACAATTTCGGGGGCATCTAACTCATGGCGAACTTTGGGATGGTGGGGGACAAATGCACCTCAGAACACATTTGCTCTCTGGTGCACGTGGGTTGTGGTGTTCGAAGCGCCGATGTGATATCCAATTTCCGACCAATCCCATTCATCCACGACTGGGCGATGCAGTCTCGGGTGCATGCGTTTGATTGGTCCCTAGACAAACCTCGAGCATTTTGGAGCAACATGCACAGAGATCACTTTTCAACTTCCTCTCACTCGACACCGACAAATGGGTCTGCTCTACTCGAAAGTCCTGGATCGCCTCTTCGGCAAGAAAGAAATGCGCCTCCTCATGCTCGGCCTGGACGCGGCTGGGAAAACCACCATCTTGTACAAATTCAAACTTGGCGAAGTCGTCACTACGATCCCCACGATCGGATTCAACCTTGAAACGGTCACGTACAAGAACATTCAGTTCACGGTGTGGGACATTGGCGGCCAAGACAAAATCCGAGCGCTGTGGCGCCACTACTACGCCAACACAAACGGTCTGATTTTTGTCGTCGACGCCAACGATCGCAGTCGAGTGGCCACGGCCCGCGACGAGTTACACCGAACGTTAGCGCAAGACGAGCTTCAAGACGCGTGCGTCCTCGTGTTTGCAAACAAACAAGACCTCCCCAGTGCCATGAGCGCCTCAGAGATCACAGACAAGATGGGGCTGGCGGGATTGCGCAGCCGCCGATGGTTTGTTCAAGGGTGCTGCGCAACCAGCGGCGATGGCTTGTACGAGGGCCTGGACTGGATTGCAAAAGCGTTGGAGACGAAGGGCTGAATAGCCTTCGCCGTCCATTGCCGACAAAGCTTTAGTTACATCGTGTATATTTAGTTCAACATCCACACTGAGACCGTACTTGATTGGGAATACCGCAAGGAGCATATCAAACGTGGCTTTTGATGTCCGTTATTTCGTAGCATTGCAAAACGGCCTCCCAGGCGTGTAGGTACTTGCGTACTTCTGGTCCAGCCTCTCACCATTTGGAGCATGAGAGAACTCATGTGTGTGCCAATGCCGTGGGCGATGCGCAGCGCTTCGAATTTGCAGTACGTTGTTGTCGCGGAAGCAAGTGGTATGACCGGTGTCGAAGAGTTATAGCATAGGAATCTGAGGTAATTCATGGGTCGGAAGTGTCACAGGGAGCACAAAAACGTGGGGACAGAGCTAGAAAACAATCCGACAGCTGTGAGATTTGAACTCACGCGGGTGACCCCAATAGATTTCTAGTCTATCGCCTTAACCGCTCGGCCAAGCTGTCGCCATGGTTCACCAGGCATATGACGCGCTGCACTTGAAACATTTGATAACTGGCATGTGATCAAGGTACTTTATGTCGGAGCTGTTGTTGGCAACCAATACGATGAACCCCGGAACCCCCAAAAAGGCCGACCACCTCCAAAACATGATCTGTTTATATATATTCTTCCACTTGTATAGTTCAATATCACTTCAGAATGGTACTTCATTTTAAGTAATTGTAGTGCAGATACGAGAAGGACTGTGATTGACTGTCTGAAATGCTTCTAGTTTTAGCCAATCAAGTTGAACTAACTCATGCATGTGAAAACCGATTCGGAGTGGTTCAGTCGCGATGGACTTTACGCTGCTGCCACTCGTGGTTCCAAGCATAAAAAATAGTGATGCATTTTTATTCTTGAGTCCATTATATTTGTGCTCATTTTAATTGTGTTCATTGCTGTTTGCCAAATTATTTTTGATCACAATTTTTAATCCGCATTTTTTGCATATTTTTATTGATTGCATACAAATCCAAGGTATTTCGACAGTCCGAGAAATAGGCGCTCTCGTTTTTTCTTGTGTTGTTTTGAAGTAAGTTTATTGCGTTGTCTTGATTTTACAGTTGGTCCTTTTTCACAATTGCACTCGCATGAAAAAA